TCTTAACTTTAGACAAAGAGACATCTGTTTCTAGGAAGGAAGTTTGCTGTCATTTTAGGATAAGGAAACATCTGTTTTAACAGAATTTGGAAATAAGGACTGTACAAGAGGAAAGATTTTCATGCTGATATAGCAGAAATTATTGTAATAAGCTAACCCATTCCATTCTATTCATAATGATTGGCTAAATTCTGCTAAAAAGGAGGTGCTCAAAATTGTCCTGGTGTGATTGTCAATCCAGATTTTGGATTGAATAAACATAATTCATTTGACTGTCCATTGATCTTCTAGTGGTTTCTATTAGATTCCTGGCTTGGAATGAGTCTCATGTGCAAAAATCAGTTTCATTCACACATACACATATACTCAAGAGAAGCAAAAGTATTATCTACTCCTCAAGTCCAAAGGAAGTTATGCTCTTGCTTTTCTGTGGTACTCTGCATCTCATCCATATGGGATGGGTATATTTTGTACAGTTGTTGCAACCAGTTTTTGATGAACAAGAGAAACATACACATTGAAGACTATGGTGTGCTACATTGTGTTTCACAGTACTTTCATCTGAAATGTTCTTCAATGAAGGAAGGGAGGGAGGAAGGAAAGGAGGAAGGAAGGAGAAGAAGCAGCCTTTTGGTTCTCTTGGATAGGAAAGGAAAGAAGAATAAGATGGTGTCTCCTCTCTTGATACTTTTGTTTTCTTTTTATGACCCTGTAATCCTTTTTATCAGGGTAGACTCGGGGTGACTGAATGCAGCTGTGCGTTTTCTGGCTGGATTCCGAATGCCCTTCCTGACGCCTACATGGAGTTTGCATATTTTCTCTCTGCACTCTGATAGAGAAACATCTGTTGCTGCCTAGGATTGAACTCTCAACCTTCTGAGTGGGAGGCAAGTGTCTTCACCTGTAGACCACTGCACCACTTATCTGCTTGGTACTTAAATACTTGTACTAGTATATTTGGTTCTATCCTGTTATACTTAGTAGTTTTTTCCTTCCCCTTAAGGCCTGTTGCTTTACTATCACCTTTTAATGAGAAATTTAAGGCTGCATTCTTCAAATTCTGAGAATTTTAACTTCATCATGCATGTTCATAGCAACCTTCTCAGCATGTCTGTACACTACAAAAAATTCTGAATCTTTTAACTACTGGTGCTGTTTTGCACCTATTTCAGTATCCAAAGGATGTGAGCTTTTATTGCATTGCAAATCATGCTGAACTTCTGAGCTTTAATCCCAATCTTTAAAATTTAAAGATTAAAGCTTTAAATTTTAATCCCAATCTTGAGATTAAAACAGAACAGAAGTAGACACAAATATTGCTACCAAATATCAACGAGCAACAATTCTAGTTCTGCTTTCTCAGGCTTAGATGTTTAGCATTAAGTACCTGAATGCTGTGGTTTTAGCTTTAGTTTTAATATTTAGCTCCCAAATGTTCATCAAAGCAAAAGATCGGTTCGTTGACCCCCCCTAACCTTGTCTCCTGACTATGGAGACAATCACCATGGGAGCGGTGAGTGCCTCCACTGGCGTGCTGGACCCGTACCCCTCCTGGCTGGTTACGAACAGCAGGGAGGTGACACGTGGCTGGATCCAGACGATAATCGGCACCTCTCTTCGGGAGGGATCCTTCCCGCCCCTTCTAAAGCCAGCGGTGGTGAGACCCCTCCTGAAGAAGCCATCTTTGGATCCAGCCATTTTAAGTAACTACCGTCCAGTTTCCAATCTCCCCTTTGTTGGGAAGGTTGTTGAGAAAGTGGTGGCCTCTCAACTCTGGTGGTCCTCGGATGAAACTAATTATCTGGATTCCTTCCAGTCCAGTTTCAGACCTGGCTACAGCACGGAAACTGCTTTGGCCGCACTGATTGATGATCTCTGGAGAGCCAGGGATGGGGGTCATGCCTCCGTCCTAGTACTCCTTGATCTCTCAGTGGCCTTCAATACCATCGACCATGGTATCCTTCTGCGGCGGTTGCAGGAGGTGGGAGTGGGAGGCACCATTTTTCAGTGGTTCTCCTCCTACCTCTCGGACAGGTTGCAGTCGGTGCTGGTTGGAGGGCAGAGGTCGACCCCCTAGGCCCCTTAAGTATGGGTTTCCTCAGGGTTCGGTCCTGTCCCCCCTCCTATTTAACATCTACATGAAGCCGCTGGGTGAGATCATATGTTAACACGGGACTAAATACCACCAATACACGGACAATACAAGGCTGTATCTGTCTGCCCCGTGCCAGCTCAGTGAAGCTGT